CTTGCTGGTGACTCTGCAAAAGAGCCAGGCTGTGTGGCCTCAGGCTTGTCATACATCCCCTGCCCAGCCTGGGTGAGCTGGGTGCTGAGAGCATGCAGGAGAATGAGAGGAAACGCCAGGTGTTTGATGAGGCCTTTGCAACACTTATGGTTGAAAAACAAGCAATAAACAACAAGCAAAAAAACAGAGAGGGGGACTTACTTGACCAGATACCATGACTTGTTCTGAGTTCTGCGTCAATGAGACAATAGAAAAGGTGACCAATGGAATGAAACAAGAAAGCCCAGAAACAGAACCACATATGGATGAAGCCGGGGTATGTAATTATCTGTCATGTCAATGGGGAGAGACGAGACTTCAAAAATTAGGCCTGTGAAAATGGCAGTCCATAGGGCAGAAAAGATTTCATTGGATCCTTACATTACACCATATATAAAAATAACTCCAGATGGTGGCGAAAGGTTAAAAATAAGTTTTTAAAAATTTAATAGAAAATCTTAATAGAAATATTTAATAAGACACAAAAACATTGCCTATAAAAGAAAGACTGATAAAAAAATTTTCTGTATTAAATTTATGAGTTTGCTTTCTTAAAAAAAACAACTTGAAAATAAGCTATGAATTGGAGAATGTATTACATACACATACTAACAAAGGATTAGTATAAGAATGTATCAAGAGCTTCTTCTGTGGGAGACTATAGTCTTTTTCTTAAAATATTTTTATATTGATTTCAGAGAGGAAGAGAGAAGAGAGTGATAGAAACATCAATGATGAGAGAGAATCATCGATCGGCTGCCTCCTGCACACCCCCTACTGGGGATTGAGCCTGCAACCCCCAGGCATATGCCCTGACTGGGAATTGAACTGGTGACCTCTTGGTTCCTGGGTCGATGCTCAACCACTGAGCCACACCGGCCAGGCCTATAGTCTTATTTAAAATGATTCAGAATATATTTCTCTACATCATTGGCTTTGGGCATGGCCATGTAACTTTCTTGAGCCAATAGAATGTGAGCAGATATGACATGTGCCCGGCAGAAGTTTTAAAAGCACTGCCAATCCTCTTACTCCTGGACCCTCGGCCTGAAGAATGACATGTCTCCTAAGTGAGAGCCATTCTGTTAGTCTGGGCCCAGGAGGGGGAAGACATGGAGCCAGGACTTGACCCACAGCTTGAGGCAGAAATGCAGTTGACCTGCAGACTTGAGAGCAAAAAAAAATGTTTCTTTCATGCGCCACTGATATTTTGGGTTTGCTTGTTATTGCAGCAAGAGCTGACCAATATGGAAACTAGTACCTTGAAGTGGGGTGCTGTGCTAACCAACGAATAAAATGTGTGGTTTGGCTTTGGGGCTAAGTGGCAGACAGCAAGGAAGCTATCATAGGGGCTGGGAAAAATGGCAGCCTGTGCTACACAGTCATGAAACGATTGGTAAAACAGTCCTGTGATCATTGAGAAGGCAGAAAATATACCTACTGAATTTATGGCTTTGGGAGAAGTAGTTTTGAAACAGAATATTGTTAGTGTGAGTTAGTTGTTACTATTTCATAAGAGACAAAAAAAGTGATGACAGGTAAAAACTGGTTCCTTTGCAAGCATAGAAACTGGAAGGGAACATAGAAAGTCTAGAAATCCTGGGGTTTACTGTGTTGAAAGGAACAATCATCTCTCACTTTCAACCTCTACGGGCTGTAAAATATTCTCAAAATAGGGCATAGCTTTAGGGGCAAAGCTCAAAACTAAAGGCATGGCTATGAACACTCAGCCTTAAGGTCAAGACCAAATCAAGGGCATGGCCATTACTCCCCTTGTTAAGATCTCCAAGGAGATTAAGACAGTCCCGGGGAATCCTGTTCATTGAACAAAATGACTCATGGAAAGGAAACTGGATGTCATAAAGCCTAGCAGTGCCCAAGGACTTGAAATTAAGTGGAGAGAGAGGAGGGCAGGGGCCATGTCTCAAAGCGAACTGTGAGTTTAGCTACTGACACTTCAAAAAAGTTTTTGAGAGAGTGTATTGCCCAAAGTGCTCCAGTCTAGATTAAATAAGGCTGACTTTTCAGAACATAACATGATCTTGAGCCTCAACAGCTACAGGCAGGAAGCAGGCTGATGATGTCGATAAAAAAAACAAAAATACACAGGAGAAAAATGGCAAAAAACAGGAACAGATATTTCAGAGAAGAGGAGGCCCTTCTTCACTGGTAGACCAGTGAAGAAATACTTAGCCTCATTACTGGTCAGGGAAAGCCAAATCCAGATGAGGAAGATATCTTAATTCAAAATGATTTGATTAGAAAAAAAGGAAACTCGACAATACCAAGTGTTGGAGGGACTGTGGTCGACAGGTCTTGTAGGCATTGCTGGTATTTTTATGTAGTTACTTTGGAAAATAAATGGAACTATCTCGTAACAGTGAATTTCTTAAACCAGCAATTTCACAGGTTTCTATATACCTAATAGAAGTCTTGCTTATATAAAAATGGTCATAGCTGCACTGTTTATGATGACAGGAATCTGGAGAAAAACTCAAATGCCACCAAGAGGGAGCGGATGAATAAACTAGTAGTATACCAACCCGATGGAATATCACACAGCCCTTAAAACAATGAATTGCAGTGACACTCCGTCATATGGATGTTCGTTAACAAAATACTATTGGGCAAAACAACAGGTCACTACAGTTATAAACAGCATGATCCCCTTTTAATAAAGTAAAAATATATACATTTTAGAAATACATGAATTCAGGGTGTTGGTTACGTTGGGTTGGAGGAGTCAGGGAGAATGGTGTGGAGGGAAACTACATTAGAAGTAGTTATGGGAGAAACCAAGATGGCGGCATAGGTAAACACCGGAGATTGCTGCCTCGCACAACCACTTCAAAAATACAACTAAGCTTTTTCCGACGAAACACCAAATGGCGGATGACGCCTGGCTGAGTGGAAATTCTACAACTAGAAGGAAAGAGAAAAGCATACCGAGACTCAGAGGAGATGCGGTGGGGAAGTAAAATACAAAGGTGCGGAGGTGCATGTGGAGAGGGCTGGCGGCTGAGGACACGGTTGTCTTTTTCAATCGGGAGGGAGTCTCAAGCTCTGAGCTCCAGTTCTGGGCAAGTCTCTGGGGACCCAGACACATACGGGAGAAACGGGACTGTCTGGCATCAGTCGGAACTCGAGGGCAGCTTTCTCTCAGAGGTGCTCGCAGCATTGCCTGGACACTGAGAGCGGGGCCTGTGAGGGCAAGACTGAGAGCAGCCATAACTGCTTGCTCCGCTCTGTTGATCCCCTGGGACCCCGCCCCGCTGAAGCCATGCACGGAGGCTTTTGCATATGAAAGGCCCGGCCCTTTGCAATCTGAAATTACTTAACAAACTGCAGCTGCCCAAGGCCCCAGGGCAACTTGCATTGCTTTACAGCTGGCTTCTGCTGGGTAGCCTCAGGCAGAGGCTAGATTAGCACCTCCTTAGAGATCCATTCTCCCACTGCAGAAACAGCTGATTCTCACAGCCAATTGGCCTGGAGGTCAACCCCTCCCAGTGTTACCTACAACAATCAAGGCTTAACTACAACAAGACTGTGCACAAAGCCCACAAGGGGGTGCACCAAGAGTGTCTACCTCAGGTAATTGGGGAGGCTGAGCCACTGGGCCCTATAGGACACCTAGCACAAAAAGCCACTCTATCAACACAGGGAAGCATAAAAAATGCGAAGACAAAGAAACAGGACACAAATGACAGAAATGGAGGAAAGCCAACTACTGGATATGGAGTTCAAAACCACACTTTTAAGGTTTTTCAAGAATTTTCTAGAAACCACCGATAAACTTAATGAGACCCTCAAAAAGTCTGGTGAGATTGCCAATAAATGTAGTGAGACCCTCAAAAAATCTAGTGAGACCCTCGAGATTATGATAAAGGACCAACTAGAAATTAAGCATACACTGACTGAAATAAAG